TTTGAGACAGATGAACTGCTCAGGAATCATTTGGCTACATCTTTGGAAAGATACAGTCGATAAGTTCAATATTATCATTTAAGGCAAAATAAAGGACTTACTGTGGAACAGACTAAATTTTTTTATGTTCAAGCAAGTGTTTGTTGACAGATAGGAAAGCAAGTCCTCAAGGGTCAGACTTGAATAGATCCTACCTAAACTTGGGGCTATCTCAGAAGTAAATCTGATGTAATGAATACTAAACACTCAACCAACTTCATTGCCATCAAGTCCATTCTGTCCAATTGTTGGGTGCTATTGATGGTTTTTCTATTCCTAGTGCCCCTATGTACAACAGAAAAAACACTGCCTGGTCCTGCACTGTCCTCGTAATTGTTCTTATGTTTAAACTATTGTTGTAGTCATGTGTCGATTCATCTCATCTGGGGCCTTCCTATATTTTACCATGCATGATATCCTTCTCTAGGGAATCATCACCTGGCAACATGTCCAAAGTGCATGAGACAGTCTCACCATCCTTGAAATGACCCAATGACAGTGGATTTGGTTTGGGTTAACATCCCAATTTAATACTTTTCTTGTTCAGAACTTTAAATTTAGGTCTGAGTTTTAAAAAATCTTGTCTACTTTTTTCAGTGTAATGAACCAAGAGTCTCATTTTAAATCTCTAGGAAGAAGAGATACAATTCCTCTGCAGTCAGAGTACAGGTGATGTCAGCACCAACGTTACAGATCGCTGGGTCCTGTCTTGTATGCAGTCCCTCATTGCTTTCTTTGAGACAGAAATGGCAGGTTGGTATCTTCCTGGCTACTCTCCATGTAGACTTTTGGTTCTTTTGTTATTTTTTTCATTTTTATTTATAAACGAAAACTAAGATTTATACAAGGTTGGAAGATATACCACAGAAAGAAGAAAATATTTATCCAAAGAAAATATGGTTGATGCTTGGTAGTATATATATATTTTTATGTGAGGTTAATTATTTTATAGTTTTGTATAGGTACTGACTGGCAATCTTGCATAAATAGTAGTTTGCAATGCTTCATAAGTAATTCATAAAATAGTTACTAGTAGCTCAAGAATAATGTGTGTATATGCTACAACTGGTTTAATTATGCCCATTTTTGACATTTAGATTCTTTTCTTAGAATTATAAATCTCTCAAATACAATTTTAATAAAACTAATTCATTGTAGAAATGTGTTTGTTTTTGGGCTGGCAGCCAACTGTTTGCTTTTATGAGTCCTGGAATCATGGGGAAAATACCACTCTTTTTTTCCACCGGAACTGTTTTATAACTTAAGCTAGCCTGATTTCCTTTACATGTAAATATTCTAAAATGAACAGTATGTACATAACTAGTCAGATAATAGAGTCTAACACATAGTACTTATGAAGACATTTAAAATTATGTCTTAGATGTACTGTTATTAATCATTGTCCATTCTACTAAAATTAAAAATCAAAGAAAAGTAATATTGAAATAGAAATTGCCCTATATCTTTATTACCCCATTACAACAAATTTGTTTTAGACAGATATACCTTAGATACTGTATTGGCTTCCTAAAAATTTGCGATGTGCAACCATCTATCAATATGTGAAATTCTAGAATCTATTGATTAACATACGTAAAATCTTTTTATAACTTAAGACAAAATGAGTCTCGTAAATGTGGAGAAAACACAATATGCGTTAGGAAAAGAGGTTGCATCCCTTAGCCTGATTTAGTGAGGTCAGGCTCACCCTCCCTCATATGCGCTGTGGTTGCTAGGTGCTGTTCAGGTCTAGCTTTCCAGTAGATGGAATGAGCCAGAGCAATAATGTGATGTGTGCATGGGGGCTGCTCTTTTCAGGAGCCTCTTCAACCCCGTCACTGGTACATGGCACAATAGGACTATTAAATCAAAAAATAAATATGTATAAGGATATATATATATAACTGTCAAAATATTGGTCAAGTGGTGCTACTCTTACGGAGCTATTGAAAACTCAGAAATCCACAGAGAGTGATCACAATTTTCCTAAAATGCAGTAAAGGACAGATAGCAGAACAAGGAACGGCAGCAATGGGAATGCCTTATGCCCTCCATTGGATGCCTGGGCCCTGCTTCTGTCTACGTTTCCCTCTTCATGAACAGTGAATGGAGAGGAAACACTGATGACAGTTTTCGCCCCAGAACCTTTTTATGTACCAGTCTCAGCCAGCAAGTGGACATCTCTTGTCTCACTGGATGTTAGTAGCACCCTTTGCCCTGGTCTTGACAAATAAAATGTTCATGGACATTTCCAACGTCTGCTTGGTGGCAAAATTGCTCCTGGATAAGAACCATTGACCTAAGCTGTGCTGTTTAGGATAAGATTAAAACCTTTTTCTTTCTTTGGCTGCAGTGCCATGTAGCACAAATGAAAGAAGCTGGAGTTCCCACACACCGTATTGTAATGTGTAAATGGTGCCTCCAGGCTTTGGGTGGTGAGCAGCTCTCAGCTTTTCCCCACATGGTGTAGTTGGACTTCTTTCCCTTTTAACTGTGTTTTCTGATGTATGACTTACTTTTCTGACCCTTAATTTTTTTCATTATCGAAATAGGAGTTTCTGATTAATTTAGAGTGCCGTTTTGATGGTTAGATGAGGTTTTGTTTTACAAGCTCTAAACATCTTCACTGCCTACAACACATTATCACTAAATCAGCTATTTAGTATGTTGATTTTTTGTATTTTTTTTTTTTAAATAAAGAGGCTGTTCATTATTTATACGCACTTTCTCGAAGCCGCTACATGTTAGTATACTTGCTGCCTGTTTGACTCATCTTCATCTTTAGCTTACAGGCTTTATACTGTGGTCCCTCGCCTAGTCAAATTTGTGGATATTTTGACAAATTGGTATGTCAGAATGAATCGCAGAAGGTTAAAGGTAAGTATCTACTACTGTTGGTAAGCAAAAGGTATGTGAACTTTGAGAATTGAGAAAAATCAAGAGTGGGAAAATGAGAGCGATCATTCTCAAGTGTGTCTAGTAGCTATGTCACTGGAATTTCAGATGCAAGCAGGATCACCCAAAGTGAACAACTGTCAGTATACCTTCCAGACTAAGAACAGACAAGGAAAATAGACTTGGCTCCCCACTTTGAAGAAAGATGCTGCTGTAAACCTTAAGCATAACTTGGAAGGATTGTCAAATATTGAAAGCCTAAACAAAGGAAGCAGAACATTTTTGGAGATACTGCCAGATTCTGGGACCCTCAGGTCAGAGGGCAGTTGCAATGAGACTGAAGAGTTTATTTCTTGGAGGGGAGTCAACCATGGTGATGTGAGTTGGGTAAAGCCTGCAGAATTGGAGCTTTCAGAATCTTCATTTGCTGATAGGTTACAACTCAAGGCAATGAGAAACATCTGTAAAAATCTTGTAATGATCAGAACTTGGAGGGTGTGCACAAGTAAACTTTTGCTTAAGATCTACAAAGTTAGTCAATCTTATAGGAATATTTATGACACCATTATTATAAAGGAAAAACCATGGTTTTCCTACCAAAGGAAATAATTTCCCAGCAAAAAAACTTAGGACAGTGATGAGGCCAGTTGGCAATGGTGGGAAGAGTCAAGGGATAGGAAGCTAAGGAGAGGATAGGTAGGCAAAGAAGTACATACATGGAGTGGGTTTACTGGGGTCCTGTGGCTGGTGTCATGTAATGGACTGTGCAACTACATACAGTATGGTTTTCTTTGTAGTATTCCACAAAAAGGAAAAGTCATAAATAACACCATTTACAAAAAGACAGAAAGGGTCACAGCCTCTACCGTCCCCCTACATTCCTTACCAATTAGACCCAAACACTGGTCTGAGTGGTTATAAAAGGATAAATTTGAAGGTGTCTTGTTTTGTGATGGGCTAGTTTTAAAAATAGACAAAATAGTATTTTTATTAAGACAATAGGCATTGTTTTATTGCATGTCATTTTTATACTTACAGAAAAAATTTTTAGTATTGTCTTTAATCATATATGCAGTTACAAGTTTGTAAATATAAAAATGTATGCACGTATGCATACCATTTGCTCAATCTCAATACACTTAAGGCAGTTTTAGAGATACCAAATAAAAATGTAAGGCAAATAAATAGCAGTATACAAGAGAAACATGTATTTCATTATAGTAGCACATATTAGTACCAGTTCAGACAAAAAGGTTTCAATGTTTCTATCATTGGATTAAAAGATAACTTTGTGAACATAACTTCAGTCTTGACTTAAGTCTTTACATCAGCTTAACAGAGCCACTTCCCAGTCTTCCTCATAAATGGGGAATAACAAGCCCCCATACCAAATTTAGGATCCTTGGTGGCATTGTGGTTACATTTTTGGCGGTGATCCACATGGTCAGCAGTTCAAAACCACCAAGCAGTTCTGAAGGAGGAAGACTGAGCTTTCTAAACCCAAAAGGGGGTCAATTTGAGTCAGCAATGTCTCGATAGCAGTAAATTTGGTTTATACCAAATCTGTTGATGTTGAATAGATTTTTTATTAAACATCTTAGAACTTATAACTACCATACCACCAGGACTTCATGCCAGGAAAACATCAATAGGTATGCAAAACACTCACTCTTTTTCTTAGTCCTTGTTATTGTTGTTGAATTTGTGCTTTCTGTATGCAGTATTCTCTGTAGGCTGCTGCTTTGTAGTAAACTTCTTAGATTCATGATAAATATTTAAATACTTTAAAATAAATGCTTAGTTATAGAAGTGGTTTGTGTCTTCCCCGGCTCCCCTCACACCCTTTTCCTCTTTCTTCTCAAGGGTGAAAATGGGAAGGAGGATTGTGTTACTGCATTGGAAACCTTGTTTAGTGTTCTGCTTTCTTTGTGCAGACTTATGGTAAGAATCTTTATTCCTTTGGTTTTGAGGCAGCCATGTGGTGCTCTAATGCTGTCTCTATGGCATGATGTTTATTTAGCACGCAAGCGATAGAAATAGAGGATTTAAAAGAACTAAAAACTCAAATCCTTTCCAGAAATCTTTTTACATATATATGAGGGTATTACCCCTTCCCTCCCCTCCTCCCCCCCTCCAAAAGGGAAAAGCTCAGCTGGGCAGAACTTTCGTATTACAAATATTTCCCACTAGGCTAACATTGAGCATTCTGAGTTAGTGTACCCGGTGGTGTCACCTGGGAAGGTTTTCTCTGGTCCCAGTTAATTTTTTTGTAAAAGTGGTTTCTCTTAACCTCCTTTTTTTTGTGATGGCTGATTTAAGAGAACAAAGTACGGTTGTTCTATTAAATTCTATTAAATGTAAATTTCTATATTTATTGCTGTGTTGTTTTCTATAATGTTTAGATGGTTTCCAGTCTAAATAAGAGAAGTTAGTTCTTGTTTCATGGGAGTGAAATAGTGTTCCCTGTTCTCATATAGGCCCCCTATACACCTTTTCTCACGGAATTAATGTACCAGAATCTAAAGCTGCTGATTGATCCTGTTTCTGTCCAGGATAAAGATACAATGAGTATTCACTACCTCTTGCTGCCCCATGTTCGGTAAGAATCAAGCTTATGTAAGTCAAAGTCTGCCTCCAGCCTTGTGTGTCTTGTAATGAGATATTTCTGGAGACCTGCATATATGATCTGTATCTCTTACATTCCTGGCCAAGGAAGGAATAGAGAGATTTAGCAATTCCCTTCCCTAACACTTGATGCTTTTCCTCACAGATAGCTGCTGTGTGGGTTACAGAATGAGAGATGGGCAGTGGTGGGATTAAATTAATAACTGGTTCGCTGCCCTAATGACCATTTTACATATAAAAAATAATATATACCAAATGATAGGTTATTCATACAGTTAATACTTAAATATGAACAATTAAGAGGTACTCAAAACTAGA